ATATTTAGCATTACAACTTTGAGTGGTTAGAACTATGAAATGAAACACAATTATGAATGTTTGAAAATGTATTTATGTAGGCAGAGGTTCAGAGATACAAATCCCACAATTTCATTCAATATGTCCACCATCTGCATTAATAACAAGTTGTGAGAAAGCCTTACACAAGTCACAAATGACACTCTGCTGGATTTTGGCCCACTCCTTCAGCAGTTTGACCTCTAGGGCGTCCAAACTGTGATGGTGAATGGTCGAGATCTTGCTCTCAAGGTATGACCAGATCCCAAAATCCAGAGGATTCAGATCGGGTGATGATGGGGGCCATTCATCTTTGGTATTGAAGTGAGGAACATTCATGGACAGCCACTCCTGAATCGATTTGGCCCCATGGGATGGTGCAGAGTCCTGCTGGAACGATAAGGGACGTTTTTTGAAGTGCTTTCGTGCCCAGGGCAATAATGCACCAACAAGGATGGCATCTCGATAGTTCTTCTGATTCAATTTCACCCCTTTGTCAACAAAAAAAAAACAAATTTGATCATTTTGGGAGTTGAAGTGGTGTTCAACATTGAATATACTTTCATCACTGAAAATGAGGTTTGGCAGCGTGCCATCATGAATGCGGGAAAGAAGAATCTTGGATCTTTGGAGGCATTTGTCAACAACTTGAGCAGACAGTTGGTGTTTTTTGACATGCTTGAATGGGGACAGTTTTTGGTCCTTCCGGAGAACAGTCAACATGGTTCCATACGACACATTTGACTGTTTTGCTAGTTTTTGGATGGTTCTCTTGTGGTTCCTCCTAATCTTTTCTCTGGTGGAATTGATCAGTTTAGGGGTTCTAACAGTTCTTGAACAACCTTGCCCTGGCCTATTCTGAACATCTCCAGTCTCCTTGTAACGTTTTACGGTCCTCCAAACCAACATTCTGTTGACTTTCAGGCTCTTTGAAATATCTTGTTTGGAGTTCCCAGCTTTAAACAGCTCAACAATTGCAGTTTGCTTTTTGGCAACACTACTCATGACTGTTTTTTTAATATATGAAATGATAAAGATTATTGAGAAGGTGTAAACTGTAAACAAATGACAAATATCGAGGACAATTATCAACAATTGATTTGAAAAAAATTTAATGCTAAAAATTGATGATCCTGTACTGTAATGTTAGGTACCTATTGCTATTATTCATTGTATTCTTCCTTAAGTAGTTTATATTAATATTTATTTAAACCTCAGAAATGTACCATTTTGTTCTATTTGAACCGCTGAAAGTAGCCCTGATTACGACTGTGTTTTTCAGGGGTGTGAAGCCCCGTGCAGATGAGTGGGTAGCAGAGACTAAGCAAGTCATTGTGAACCCCGAGAAAGAGAGGGAAGATAAGCTTAGAGAGGAAGCCTTCAAGCAGAAAGAGAAGCAGATGATTGAGCTGAAAAAGAGTATGGTTAGTGCTTACATTTTGAGTAGTTATATTCGGTGTCAGTATTTTGAAATTATTGTATAATAGATTCATTTATTTTACTTTCATATGGAGACATTGAGTTTTTAGTCTGTCGTGTTATTTAATAGTTGTTTTAATCTGATATACCTATATATATTTTAAAATTTTAATCAATTTTTTAGTTAAATGTTAGGTAAGCTGAATTCAAATTTTTTTTTAATTACCTATGTATCTCTTTATGTGCCTGACATCAAAGCACACGTATTATTGAATCTGTTCATTTTGCAGAAGGAGGATCGAGACATTGCTGCTGCCATCAAAGCAGAGCACCGCAATGATCTCAGCAAATGCTGGGTGCACAAAGCACAGAAGGCGGTGCCGCTTCCCAGTGAAAGATTGAATTCTTGTGTTTAGCTTCTTGATTCTCTGTTTAATTTACTGTATTTTATGTTAAATTGCCTGGGTTTGGTGCATAGTATTTCTTAGAATTAACAGGTTATTGATAGTTGTTCATAATTTGCTTGATAACTACCTATGCCATTGTGGACTGGAAATTTTTGAACATGTCATTAGTTTCCACTTTTGTGAGCAACTTCAGTTTTGCTGATTCATAAAATTTGGCTAATTGCTTCTCTTGAATTCTTTTGGAATAGTTATTATCTGACATTCAAAATAGTGCAAATACTTTTTTCCTCTCACTTTATACACAGATTGCTTAATAGTGAAAGTTACAAGTATTTGCAACTTTAATGTGAGGTATTAAACATTTTATTAAGACTTTATTGAGTATTTTATGAATTCTGTAATACTATCGGAAATTTCAATAGTAGTTGCATGCTTTGCAGATATTATTTAGGGATTAATTTACATTAATAATAGATGCTCTCACTACTAATTTCTTACTAATACTCATTACTCTTATTATTATTATTCATTCCTCATCGTGTAATTGTTAATTTAAAGTAATACGGTTTGCATCTAACGATATGAATTTATTTA